ACTGAAGTCTTGAATAGGTATTCCACACACTTTATAAGACAAATCCTAGTTGTTTAATACTGCTTAATATGTTTTTCTTTGACATAGATTAAATATRCCACGAATTCAGTGGAAAACGTAGACTTCAGTGTTCAGGACATATAAGACAATTTTAAATGAAAATTAGAAAATTATAAACAGAAAAATTGACTATTGTGTATAGTTTTAGAAAGTTTACGCTGCGGCGATAATCATGTGAAATTCATAGAGGACAAACAATATTTATCATAAACYACATATAGGTACAAAGCATAGGACACTGGATTTCTTTGTAAGTCAGCCGACATCAGATCGAATTCTCTTAGTAGATGGCTGACGTTGACGGGAAGGGGAAAATCATATTAGGTATGASATGAGCATATATCGACATAATTTTTTAATTGTTCCACAATACGKTTTGTTACTATATTATGGTCGTGTTTCCCGTATGCATTTCCTCCGAGAAGACGTAACTTTTTTCATTTCTTTTTCCGGTTAGTACATATAGTACCTACATACATATTATATATAATTTATAAACAGACATATATATATATTTGTTACACTCTTTAAACCAGTTTCGATATGATATAAATTACGGCAGGATGATGATTATTATAAAAACGCAAAAGAACTATTTGATATTAACGAAAACCAGTTTGTCAATTTTGGTCATAATTTTATTTGTATAATATATAGGCATATACATTTTCTTCATTGTATTAATATCATAAAGAGGTAAAGTCATATTTTTTTTTGAAAAAAAAATCTACAGGGACGATTAGACCTCTAATCACATATTTTTTTCTTTCACCCAATTATAATAATGGTATTATTTTATTCATATAGAACCACACTGTAGTATGTCAGCCATTATGCGTAGTGCTAGTCTAGTGGTTTGCATTTCAACTTTGGTGACATGTGTCAGCACCGCAGGTATTTTGTATCCACGAGAGTCCGAATCTCGGGAAGTCAAATCACTGGATGGCATGTGGAATTTCAGGCTATCTCTTCCCGACCCCCTCGTCGGTTTTAAGGAACGCTGGTACATGAAAGACTTAAGCAAGGTACGTTTTTAGTTTTAGCTTAATATTTATAAGTATCAAGTTTTACACATTTAAGTTGCTATAATTGTGATACTATTTTATAATTTAATTTTCATAAATTATGATAAAAAATGAGATATCAATAATTTCGTGTAGTAGTATAATATGATATAACACTAGGTAAGAAGTACCTATATAAATTTATTTATGTACTTTATAACTTCGTTATGTTTGCTGTTAAAAATAAATCTAATAAGTCAAATCATTTTTGTAGTTATGAGATTTATAAAATAAACTCAAGAAAACGTGATTTTTCTAAGAAACATTATTAATTAAAGACTAGATATTATTATGTTATATATTTATAAGTTGGGTATAAAAATAAATTAAAACCGTAACTACAGTAAAGTTGCTGCAAGACTAAACTTCATAAATCATAATATAAGAAGTTATAGCTTATAGACTATATAGTATGATATTATTTATGTCTGCCTTCTGAACATGCTATTTAAAAAATCATACATGTTTCTTTATTTGTTCAAATTATTTAGTTAATTTCTGCGTAATATTTTAATATTCTGCCAAAACAATACGCAGTTTTTTGGTGTTTTATTTAAATAATTTTTTAAGTATACCTAATGTATATATTATTTAGTACACAATATTTAAACATATAGGGTATAAGAAAGTACAATGAAAGATATTTTTTCTGATTTAGTGACAATTATCTATATTGACACTATACAGTATACACAATACATTGTATTATGTATATTCATCGCATGATTCACGAATACTCCAAGTTTCGTGTCTAGATAATTTTCCTATATATATTTACATTGGTTAAATTAATCATTAATTATTATATTATTTGCAGCTCACTAGCTACCATAAAATACCTAATTTTAATTTTTTTTTCTGATTTATTGAAAGGGGGTTCTAAAAGAATTGAAATTTAAAATTACCCACTTATTCAATAAACATATCTTTGGCCATAAATGTTCTTAATAGTGTCTAATTAGTATTAAAACAATAAATTTTTTRATTAATATCCGCTTAATGCGTAAAATCATTATAAGCTATAATAGTACTTATAAGTTATATGGTTATGTGATTACTCGAAAAAAAAATCCAATGCCATATAATGGAATTAGTAAATTACATTATTGTTTGGGCATTCAACACTATACATATTACATWCATAGCACTGTGTAATATATTATGCTATATGCCTACTTAATTGCCATAAAACGCTGCACCTTATTTTTACCTGTCGCGGTCGCGCGGAATAACGTTAAAAATATAAGTTTTTATACATAATATTATACAGCGTACTATATATAACGTGTACAAGACCATGTGCATTTTAGACATCACATATATAGTATACCTAGTCAAACCAACCCAAGTGGCATACTCGCCAGTCGTTACCGTTTTCTGTAGGTAAATCGTATAGTGTATAGTATACACTGTATACAGTATAATAGTACGAAAACGCTGCACAAGTCAAATTTTAAAACTGGAAACCTAATTTGAATCATTAAAACAATGTTGGTATTTACCTATATTATATTTTATTATTTATTAAACAAACAGGATTCAGATGTTTTAGTACACCTATTATTTATTAGTAATTACTTATTACCTACTATAAAATAGTAATAATAAATATGTTTATATTAAATAATAATTATATGCAATATGAACATCCATATTACATATTATCATAAAAAATAAACCCATTGCGCGAAAAGTAGTTATTCACATTGTGTAACAAAATTTTTATTTGCGATATATCTAGATATCACATGGATTTCACTAAATAGATGCGATATTGTGACATAAATACAAAATATATATGTCATACAGATGGAGGTACATTTTATAGTTTGAAGCAGTGCCGTAACTAGAGGAGCGGCTTAAGCCTCCCTTCCCAAATAAAATCMTGACTACGGCTCTGGTTTGAAGTGTTGTTTATTATTTATAAATTATATTAGTAAATTGATATGCAATTTATTAATCAAGTAATTACAAGACGGATATAAGTGTATAAAAATCAACATAAATGTATTACAAATWATGCGTACAAATGCCAATATATAGGAACTTATGACTTATCTCCATCGTTAAATAAACACGAATTAAAGTTTTATAACTAATTCTTAATTTTTAAACCTAAATTATAGCAGTAGGTACAGTGTAGATATTAGTACATCATACATGTGCTATATAATGCTTTTTTATTACTATTTTATTATGTGATTAAACAAATATGTGTTAAAAACATTAATGTACATCATTTATTTGTAAGAATTATAACGATTTTGATACGTATTTATAGTGATAGTGTATATCTATTGGCTATTTGATAGTTGATACCTGGGTATTACTGTTCTATGGTATTATAGCATCATGCCTACATCCTACAATCTACTTCCATTATTTTGTTGAAATGTTTAAACACTATTATAAACACGCGTAATATGTTTTCATAATAATTCTTAATTCCTTAGCTTTATACAGTTGTATTATTGGTTAACGATTTAAAGATTTAAATGCCATTAAATGATAAAAGAAATAAACCCGTTTAAACAATGTCTGTACACAGTTCTGAGCTCTTAATAATATACGGTTTAACAAACCGTGTGACGAAATAATGAGAATAGCGATAATATTAAATTTCTACCGTGGAAATAATATTGTATTTCGCCACATACTTACAAGTAGCATAATTGCATATACATAACGCCTTATAGCGTAATTTGAATTTTGTGATTATATTACTCAGCTATTACGCCACTGCTTGCTATTCCAGATGATCTAGGCATGAGCCAATCGTTATAAAATGTTAAACAGGTGCGGTTAATATTTGTATAATATTATTACTACACATATATGTATTATTTGTGTAATAAATTTTATTTAAAATGTCTTAGTGGATATTTTGTGTAATATAACATATGCATTTTTAGTATTTTATAACACTGCGATACCTAAATAATAATTTAGAAGTTATATATTATGTTTCATAATAGTATTTTAATTTAGACCGGTCCAGTGATGCAAATGCCAGTGCCCAGTAGTTACAACGACGTGATGGTGGACAAAAAAATCAGAGATCATGTCGGTTTAGTTTGGTACGATAGATCGTTTTTTGCGCCTGAGTCGTGGAGGCAGCAGGGTTATAGAGTTTTCTTAAGATTTGGCAGTGTTAATTATGCGGCTCAAGTTGTAAGTGAAATATTACTTAATGTATAACATAACTTAACGAATAATGCAATTAAGTATTCCACTACAACRGACTTCGCTTAATGTGGGTACGTTGGGACCAGCCCTGTTTGCCCACATTAATGGCGGTTGTTTCCTATACATTTAGTAAACAAAATCCAATTAAGGTTTAAATGRTAACGCTTTTTTGCTATTTTTGATTAACACAATCTCATAGATACGATGAAACCAGATTATAAAAATCATTTTTAAACACTTATGAGTATAACRCTATGATACAATAAAAATTGTACACATAAACCCATTCGAGTGCCTACACCATGTGGTTTTTTTTAACCTTGTTAATATACATTTTTGTTTTGGGATCATTTTTCCATATTACGTGGCTACCCATGTGCCTAAATTAGGTAGAATCTACTGTACCTTTATATAATATTATTCTCAGATTCATTCCTTATATTATAGTTTTTATTTTACATTTAATAAGTTCGTTTTTTAAATCTATGTATTCTTAACATTTTTAACTTTAAATTTTTTATTTGGGACTCAGTGGTCAGTACTAACATATAATAATATTAATTTTATATTTTATTAATATAGGTACGCTTAAATCATCTATAGTATAAAATAAATTATAAATACTATTATTATTAACTGTCGCAATGCACAAATATTATTGTATTATTTATTAATAATAACAGAGTTGTATCCAACTGTTATAATATTTTAGTTATATAATTTGGATATGTAAATGTTCATATAATACTTATGTACCTATATTATATAATTACTTTTGCTCATTGACTGAAGCATTATAATTTTTAGTGGGTGAATACACATTTAGTACTCAATCACGAAATAGGACACTTGCCTTTTCAAAGAGACATAACAGCCAATCTTAAGTTTGGACGTCTGAATAGAATAACCGTAGCCGTGGATAACGTTTTATTAGAAACGACTGTACCACAAGGATCTTTACAAAACATTAGCACGTGAGTATACGGTTTTTGCAAAATATCGTGAATATGAATTATTACGTAATACTTAATGTTGCTTATAAACATGTTTTACACCATAGCTGAAAAACATGATATTTCAACAATAAATGCATACAATCATTATAATACTGTTTAAGTATACCTATAACAATATTGTGTTTCAAAACATTACTTCATTCCACAATCTACGTGCTTTGGACCTCGTTCTAATTCCCGAAAAGTTGTGATTCGAACATCATATTTTGATACGAGAATATCTAGGTATTTTATATACCTGTCGCACATAACAATAACATACATGATATTCATTCTATATCTCTCCAAGTCTTGACGTATCATAATATTTAAGTAGTCTTTTTATTATTATTTGTGAATCGTTAGACTTCCATGTTATCTATATAATATGCAAACATGCGATTTAATTTCATCAATATCATCCAATGGCCACGACTGTCGCCATGGGCTTATTTAAAAAATAAAATAATGCAATGACAAAAAAAACTTGTTTTGTTATTGTAATTTTTCCCTGTGCTTAAGTATAGCTATGCATTTTAGAAAACAAACAAGAATTTTATATTATATAATATTACGATGTTGTGTACACCCGGTACACGACGACTGCAAGKCGTGCTCATTGCAAAATATAAACTCAGTCACATAATATAATCTTACAACCTATTATAATATTTTGAAACGCATATCACAACAATAATAATCGTGACTTTATATTATACAGAAATGATGGACCTAAGACGATACAAACGTATACGTTTGACTTCTTCAACTATGCTGGTATACATAGGTCCGTGTTCTTGTACACAACGCCTATTTTGTACATCGACGATGTCGACGTGACGACCAATTTCACTGAGGATGGCGTTGGTAAAGGCTTTTGTATTAATAAAATATATGACATGTACATATATATATAAAGTTATAATAAGATATAATAAACTATTATTCTATACGTAAACTATCGCATATCTAAATATCGTACCAAAGTTAGATCGGCTGCGTACGAGTTGATTCCTGGGTACCTGTTTACCTGCACCAGTATCGTTGAGTTGATTCTCGGGTCATTTAATATTTTTTTCAATATTTAGTCAAATATTCAGCCTATTAGCGTAAACCAATAAACATCACGAGGAGGTTGGATGACAAGTTTCTCAAAATTTTTGTTCTTTTTAGTATTTTAATAAAAAATTATTAATAAAAAAATGCAGTAATTTAGTAAAAATGTATAACACATTGTTTTTAAAAATTGGTATCTGGTAATGAGATTATCAGTATATCACGACAACACTTCTCTCAAAAAAGTGMCTTTCGAACTCATTACTGTCGTGCAGTCTATTGATATACAATAGTCAATAATAGAGAATCAACAGGTACATACCTCTTAGTGACCAGCGGTAATCAACTTATATATACTTAATAATGACCAGGGAATCGACTCACTTACATGCAGTGGTTAGATCAACATGACGAAGAATAACAACAATGACTATTAAAAATTACGTGAGGGCAATGATGGTCTGGTGGTATATTTAGGTGATGAGATTAAATTATAAGCTGTACATTGTAATAAATAATAATAATAACAAATATAAAAACATTCGACAGATAAATCGGTTATTACGAAATTCAATGTCCTATGGTTAATAAAGGTTCGTGTATACAATTTTTATAATTTCATTACTTTAGGTTGATAATATAAATGTAACAAAAAATGTGTGCAGTGTTTACGTTGAAATATAATTTAATAATAATAATATGGGCTATAATATTATATATACTTACGAATATGTTTTATTGAAAAAAGATCTTAGAAATTGTGGAATGATGATAAACATTGATGATGACTATTATTATACCWTCATTATATTTTTAGGCATTATTAACTACAGTGTAAAATATGGAGGATCTCTGAACAGTGGTGAAAATTTAAGTTGTTCAATAACAGTGTTGAACAACGAAAACGTGCGAGAAAAAATCACCGTGATCACTAACGATGAAGAAGGTCTGTCGGGTATTATAAAAATCGAAAACGCGAAACTGTGGTGGCCATATTTGATGCACGAAGAACCGGGATACTTGTACACGTTGGAGGTATTTACAGTATAATCAGCCTATAATATCGTATATTATCATATACATTCGTGAAAACGAGCAATAATAGTATTCATAATATTACTCATGTGTGACTATAATACAATTTTGAATTTTCCMCGAAAATCGATAATAAATCGTTATATTTGATCCGATCGGATGTATTGTATTATACCTTTTAAGCTATTCGTAAACACGCCGTGGCGGATGTATAACCGTGTAGTTACGGTTGCGAACTCTCGACACAGACGCATGACATATTTTGTTTGAACCGAATATTATAGATCCGGCTTTCGACCACTTGGAATGTGGACGACGTATACCGATTACCGGTCGGGATCAGAACGATCAAGTGGACGAATACGGAGTTCCTCATCAACAACAAACCTGCGTACTTGAGAGGGTTTGGACGACACGAAGATTCAGATGTAATATTATATTCCAGTTGTCATTTGTCACGTTTTCGTGTAGCCACAGGCTGGTGAAACTAAATCGGACGGTCGTGTTGAATTTTATAGATACGAGGTAAAGGAATGGACTACGCGCTGGTGACCAGGGACTACGACCTCATCAAATGGGTAGGAGCGAATTCTTATCGGACATCTCACTACCCGTACGCCGAAGAAATCATGGATTTTGCCGACAGACACGGCATAATGATCGTAGACGAATGTCCCAGTGTTGATACCGAGTGAGGAAATTAATTATTATTACAGGCTATTGCTTTGAAAAATCTGGTATCGATCGTCTACAAAGTAAAAACAYTATAATATTAATATGTGGCCCAAAATGAGATATTTTTTTATGAGAAATGGATACAAAGGTATAAACCAGTTGTTTAATAAAATTTACAGCAAAGGTTTGAAGAGCCAAATAATTGTAATTAAAAAAAAAAGATTTGGTTATTTTAATGTATTTAACGAGATAATATAGYRTGATATACTCCTGTCCCGCGTGTACAGTTCTTTAGTTTTTAATTTTTATTCGCATAATACAATACTAAATAATAACTATTATTAAGTTKGCTAATTAGCTGCTATTATYATTATTGTAGTATTTGAAATACTAATTGATCATATTATTCCACTTTTTCGAATTTGAATAAAAAAAACATATATTGTGTCTTGTACTTTCATTAAWTKTTCAATAACAACTGTCTCCTAAATTAAATATACCAATTATGTATGACATAATTTAACACATTTTCAGTCATTTTTCGGATAAACTACTGAAGAAGCATATTACGAGCTTAGCGGAACTCATCAAGAGGGACAAAAATAGACCTAGTGTGATTATGTGGTCCATTGCAAACGAGCCACGATCGGATCACAAAGACGCCGATTCGTATTTTAAGTGAGCGCTGTTTTAACTATTTTTTAGACGAATAGACAACACACTTTACACGAATGACACAGTGATGGTGTATTCTGTTCACCTTAAACTTTTCGCAATATTGGATTGCATTGATATAAATCTGTAAAATATAAGTCTTACCATACTATATAAGGAATAAGTAATAATTATTCTTTATACTATGACTCTGACCACGTTTAAAACACACGCACACAACCAC